GTTTGTTCGGTCTGTTTAAAATGTAGTTGCATCTCGGTTTGGAGGTCTGTAGTTAGTTAGTGAGGAATGCCTCGGGCCCAAAAGTGGAATAAATCAACAACATAACCGTCCTCAGTCTTTCCTTTTTCCTTCCCCCTCCTCTATTCTAAATGCTTTCCTGTGTCGTCCTCCTTTCTCTGACCTTTATCTTTTTTCTAGCTCACCCCCCTTCCCAAGACCTTAACGTCTACTTCCTTTTTGCTTCTTAACTTTATCTCACCCTTCTCCCCGTACTTCTTTCTTCATGTTTTCCCCTCCCTGCTTTTGTTTCCCTCTTCTCCTAAAAAAAAAAAAAAAAAAGCTTTGTGGTTTTGCAGACCGCTGGCTGTATTTGCAAAAAGCAAAGAAATCTGATACTGCTGGAAGAAGGAAAAAAAAAATCTTTTGTGACTCTAATAGAAAACAGCAATGCAGAAAGTCCAATGGGTTCTTTTGGGCTTTCCAGTTGCTGAGATTAATTTTCCTCTCCTGCACATTTCAAATAAACAGTTTATCTGAGATGACATTATTGAACCTGAAACAAGAGAAAACTTGTTGGAGTAGATCTGATGATCATCAAAGATGAATGATTAAGACCTACTGGTATGATTTATCTAACCTAAAACATTGAAAATCTCCAACTAATTTGGTAATAATCAAGATTTTTATTATTAGACCCTGCTGCTGATTAGCTCTTGGAAAAAAAGATAAGCTGCTTCATCATAAGCTGCATGTTGTGTTTAGATCTAAATTTTTCTATTAGTCTTGAAATACACAAACCTGATCCATAAGTTTGATCACTTTTTCAGTTCTCTGTAATTGGTACACAGATATAAAGGACATCCAACTTTTCCTGTCTTGTTCAGAAAACTGTACATCTGGTAAAAGTCTGCCAGATGTTACTTGTTGTCAGTGTTTTTGTTGTTTGAGAAAAATATATTACTGAACAAATTATTTCGTAATGCTTTTTTTATATAAACTTTAGATTCTTACCTCAACTTTATTTCTGAAATGCTAACATTTCCAAATCCACCATGTTCAGTTCAGCTGAAATGGGGAAACATAATAGCTTTGCTATGCTCCTTGCAGCCTTCCTGTTATCTGCCCAACGTCTTGATCTTTTGCAGCTTGAATAAATAGTAGACGTGTCTAGCCAATCAAGAAAGGTTTCTATTTAAGTAGTTAGATTTCTATGCTTTCACTGATTTCATTTTTAAAACATTTGCCACTGAAACTGGAAGGTTTTGAGTCTTCTAGCCTCGATAGCAACTCGTTAGCTCCTTGAAGAGTTTGATGTGGTGTGTTCGTAGATTTTTGAGTTTCCGACACACTTTTGTTGAAAATATGTACCCAGATATTTTCCTGCTGCTCTACTTTTAGCCAACTCCAAACACATTTTGTGTTTTCTTTTTCTCATTTTCTTTTTTTTTTTTTCTTTTTTTAAATCTTGAAATTGTTTGACTTAATATCCGCAATTTTCTGCTGCTCCGTCAGTGTCTTGAGGTTTGGGTTTTGTTTATACCCAACAGCTGCTGACCCACCAGTCTGAGACATTTTAAAACTGCAGGTCAAATGTTTCTCATTTATAGATCCCTGGTCCGACTTCTTGTCTCCAGACGACTCTTTATATTGGCTAAGAACCATCTACGATCTGCAGTACCTCTAAAGATCCTGAATACCTCCATTTGATTAATAGTGTCAACACTATATCCACTTGTAACTATAAGATCCTTCACTATGATAGTTTGAATAACTTTTAAACGAACAGCTCTGAAAGAGTGTGTTTCACCTACAGCTCGACATTCTTGTATCAACATCTCTCCCTTCTGGGGTTGAATGTTTACTAAAGCAGACAGAAGTTTACTACCTGTAAGGAAAGTGATTTATTTCTGTTAAGTTTCCCACGATCCTGGATTTGGTGGTCCTTTTCTGTGCTGCATGCTTGCAGAGTTGTTTACAGAGCTTGGAAAAGTAAGGAGTTCAGAGTCATTGAGGACAAGGAACAAAGCTTTGGGAAGCTTTACTGCTTCAATCTGAAAAAGTCGACTCCCTCTACTCCTTCTGTCGCCTTTATTCGTTGTCCCTTTTCTTGATGTGGAAGGGTTTTCTACTCACCCAAGAAGATTAGTTTGCTTATTTCGTCACTGTAGTAGTATTAGTCATAAGGCTGTAGATCAGTGGCTCATTACATCCAATGTTTCATCACCCAACAAAAGTGTGTTTAGCTAAATACAGGAAGATGTCACGGCCTGCTAAAGCGTTCCTTAGCAAAGAGAAATAAAACTTTGTTAATTTAGACCTAAACATGTCTAACTTTTCAGTGTGTCTTTTCAGTGTGAAGGTAGACCAACATTTTTAAAAAGGTACAGTTTAAACATTTAATGGCATACCTAGGAAGATGCCAGACTGTAAGGACCAGCTATATAGAATAAAGCAACCCCTCCCTCATATGTTGCTGTGCACTTCCAGACAGCTGGCTGAACAAATGATGATTAACATATTTCCGGCTGTAAAGGCATTTAGTAAATATTGCAAATTTCATTCAAATTTTTTTCACACACATGCCATACTGGTGTATGCACGCCTAAAGAAATAAAGAAACTGACCGAAGGGAGGAAAAGGACAGAAGCAAAGCGGAGGTCTGTGTAGAACTTCAGGGCGGTGCACGGGGAAGGTGGAGGGCATTGAGATGCAGCAAGTTGCTGACTGACTGCCTGGAACAGGAAGAGGAAGTGGTGAAGGAGGTCAGGAGAGCTGCTTCCATAGGTGGGTCTTTATGACACGTGGATTCACACAATGAGTTGCAATAAAAGTGAGACTGAAGTTTAGAGTTTCCACTGCTGTGTTATTCTTTGCCGTTTTTTTTTTTCTTTCATTAATCACTTCAAGGCCAATTTGACGTGTTTCCACCAGGAGTGGTCCGTGCCGGTTTAAGTGATTTGAGTGAAATGTCTGGATTCTTTTTTTTATGTCAAAGCAGCAGAATTGTTTGCTGGACTCTGTTTCATGAATGTCCAAGTACATGCCTACCCGTCACCCATATGATCAAACAAGAAAGGTTTGAGGCAAGGACGGGGTTTCAATGCACAAAGCCAAGCATGCACTCTGTAGATGTGTCTGTTTGAGGCAGGCCAGCTGGGAGCAGATCATATTTCAGCTTCTTTTTCAGTCTCACATTAACAGGACAGATACCGAGGACACAGGAGGCCTTATAAAGGGTTGCAGCACCTAAAAGCCATAGATACAAACCCAGCAGTTTAAATCCATACTGGCAGGTTACATTGTTAAAGGCGCATTCATGTTCTGCATGCTCAGGCTTTGGAAGACGGGCTTAACGTTGAATATATAACTTATTAATCCACACGAGGAAATCTAATGATTAAAATGGGCTGTTGCAGTGACTTCCTGCCAAATCTGAAGTACTTTAAAACTAGATAAACTATTTTCTAATAGGTTCTCCTAGAGCCTGCTGGGATGAAGGCTACATCTGTTTAAAATTCACTATGTTTTAACAGGGCTGGTGTGGAAATGGTAAAATCTCTCAGATCATCACTTTTGCTTCCATTGAAAGTCTCATTAAATATGGATAGTCTTAGGTGGAAACACTTTGCAGACATTTAAGATACCTAAAGTGTTAGCTTTCCTCTCTTCATTAACTTATTCCACACCTATTGATGTTATTCAGATTAAACCCCTAAAATAAATGAATTTGCCAAAGAATTGGTGTCTTTTCTTATGTTCTGGAATCCATCTTGGGGGAGACTCACTGTATTTTTTATGATTTTCACAAAGCGGTCAGCTCTAGTACCCATCTACACCCTTAAAGGCTAAGAAAGGAAAGATTGGTGCCCGTCTCCAGCGTCTATAAGCGAGACGAGGCACACCCTGGACAGGTCACCAATCCATCAGAGCAAGACTGAAACACATTAGACAAACAACCTTGCCCTCACCCTCACCTCTTGAGGAAAGAGCTCACACACCAGTTGAGCTAACATGTATGTTTTGGACAGGGGAAGTAAGCACAGTCGACTTTTATAAACTGTTTGTGGTGTGTAAATATGGAGTAAATATCTGGAGATTGTTAAAAATTATTACTTATTGACCCACTTTGCACATGCCCTTTCTAACTTTTTGTGCTAGCAACCACAACAACATTGAAGTATTTTTATTGGTTTTCCACATTGGTTTTCCTTCGTTCCATTAAACTTCAAATGTGAGCTGTAACTGTTCATAACCGAGTCACAGAAAATAAGAAGTCTAGTTGTTTTTGGGAGAATCAATACCAATTAGCTACATTGTCACCATCTGCTGGTGGAGCACAGAAACGCCACCAATGCATGTTATAGAACCCTGTTGATTTTTTTTTTTTTTTTTTTTACAGAAACAGGAAAATATTTAATAAAATATCTAATGTTTCAGCACTTGAACTTCTCTCTAGTTAAAAACATTCTCCCTTCACTACCTGCACTGTTGGCAGTTTCTGGTTGTATTTTTTCAAAACTCTGATCTGCTGTTTATGTGAAGGGACCGGCTGTTTCGCTATGATGCAATTCCAAACTTAATTAGCCACTTCCGATCATCTGCCGAGCAGCTGGTGCTTTTCTAGATTGTAGATAAAACTTAAATGACTAATGTGCTCTAAACATTATGCCTGCTTCATATCAGGATGTTAGTAAAGCTTTAAACCTTCAAACCTGTTTGGCTTTGTTTTTATTTTAATGTAAAGTTGTTTATTGTCGCCTCAAATTCTTTAAGTTCTTTCCATTCTTGCTGCGAGGACGTTTTGTTAGAGAAACTCAGCTGTGCAGATCTCCTCTCCACTTCCTTATCTTGCTTCCAGTACCGCTTTTGCACATTCCCTGCGTTGCTGATGACATTTATTTGACCCCCTTTCCTTCCCATCGAATGCTTAGTTCCTCTGTGCTTTTTACATCAACAGTAATCGTACAACCTTGCCTCTCCCTCTCTCTGTGTCGACGCAGGACCAGAGGTGTTCCCCAGCAACAGCAGCAGTGCCATGTCTGAGGCGGTGGTGCCTGACGCCATGGTACCCCCAGCAGTGGGCAGTCTATATGGGGAGAAGGCCGGTGGAGCCATGGTGGACTTCAGCTATGTGGGGATTGATGCCATTCTGGAGCAGATGAGGAGAAAAGCCATGAAGCAGGGCTTCGAGCTCAACATCATGGTTGTAGGTAGGTTGTGATTCTTTCCACACTAAAAAAACACATCTAGTCTCTACTCGCCTATAATGTTAAACCCAAAACTAATATGTAAATGTCTTTTTTTTAATATTCATACATCTGCCTCAGCCTCTTCTCTTCACATCCAAATGCACATTTCTCATAAAAATCCTCGCGTTTTTGTTTCCTCCTGCACTGACTTGACTTTTGTCTCTTTAATCAGCCTTGACTGAAAGCAGAGGCGTCAAACTGATTTTAACAAGCATCCCTCTCTGTTGGAGCCCCAACACACTGCCTTTGAGTCCTGTGATCACACACCATTAATTACACACTCCTCAGCTGTAACCAGGCCATCATAAAACTCTCTCCACTTCCAAAGGGCGTCTCCTGAGGATGATGCCGTGACACCTTTTCTGTCTGGCATGTAAAAAAAGAAAGAAAGGGAAGCAGTCTTGAGTAAAATGAAAGATCCCTTGTTTCCATGCTTTCTTTTGCTACTATAAATTAGAGATAAAATACCGTCTGTTACTCATCAGAGCGTTTCAGGTTGTGCTTTCAGAATTACAAAAGCAGGAAATAATTAAAGTAACCCAATCAGAACAGATGCATTTCCTTTTCATTTACTACGTCTACTTACTCATTTCTTTATCCATTAAAGAAAACATAATCAAAAGAAATACAACTAAGTACTAAGGTATATTTTTGACCCTTTGAATGTACCTCCGGGGCTTTTAAAAACTTAATCCTCTTGAAGAATGAAGAACATTGAACATGGTTGTCTTCATACAGAACGGTAAGGTGGAAAACTAATACATCACTCTGAAAACACAGTGGTGGCAGGATGATGCTGTGGGGATACTTCAGCACAGGTGGAGAGAAGCTGGTCAGAGCTGATGGGTAGATTGTAAATGCAGGTAACTTCTGAAAGAAGTTATGAAGTATTAGGGCAGCGACACTAAACATGAATTAAGAGATGCAGTGGAGCTTTAAATGCCAGAATGGCCCAGTCAAAGTCAAGAGCTAAATCCAATTAAGAATATGTGTGGAGATTTGAAAACCTCTGGTAATGGAGATGCTTTCTGTCTGTCTGAGTTTGAGCTGCTCTGCAAAAAAGAATAAGATAAAATCTGTTTCTAGATGTACGAACTGAAGTTTAGCGACTTCCGCTGATATGGAAGTGAAATGTGGTTCTTTTTGAAAACACTGACTCGGACCTTTTGAATTCAAGGTAATGCTACTGCATTTTTTTTTTTTTGCCCATTTCAGTTACGCACTCAAACTTACAAAAACAACTCGATGTTAGTGGTTATGAAGAAGTGCAAGAGGTACGAATATTTTTTGTAAGCCTTCAGTTCTGAAAACAGATAAAACGTGAAACGGGAACGTGAGCTGGGGTTAGACCGTCGTGAGACAGGTTAGTTTTACCCTACTGATAATGTGTTGTTGCAATAGTAATCCTGCTCAGTGAAACAGGTGGAAACAGTCTTTCCTTGTGTTCGACGTAGTTCCACTTCATAGTTTCAGTGTGAACATTGTTGGCAGGAATGCGCCTTTCTCTATAGGTTCCAGCTGTTGGGATTTTTAGGCTATTGCTTGAATTATGCCCTGCTGTCTGCCTGCCTAGGTGAGTGTGTTTTAGAAGAGATCTCCATAAATCAGGGTGGTTCTTGTTGACTTAACCTAAATTCAAACTGTGAAGGATTACTTCTCAAATGGTCACTTCCCCCTCTTCCTGGTCTGTTCGTGTTTTTTTTTCCTGCTCACATGTAGTACCTTTTTGATTCATGTAGCAACATGGGGAAAGTAAATTGCAGTGTTAGTTTTGATAACATAGATGCAGGTAGATACTGTTTCTTTCCACTTCAGAAAGAAGTGAAACTTACATGTAATAAGATGCAATTAGTTGTATTTTGTGCAGATTTGTAACAGCATTGTTCTCATTTTACAGGGCAGAGCGGCCTTGGTAAGTCGACTCTGATGAACACCTTGTTCAAATCTAAAGTCAGCAGGAAGTCTGTACTGGGCACCGGCCAGGAGAAGATCCCAAAAACTATTGAAATTAAGTCCATCAGTCACGGTATGCCCTTTCTTAGTTTTCAGTTTACATCTTTCCCTGCTGTTTTATGACACATAATCCCCCACAGCTGCTAAATCCTAAAAAGGAAGCAAGCCTCTAGTGATCCGAATCATCTTGGCTGCTGGCACTTATTGGCATTGCTTCTCTTTGTGCAGACATCGAGGAGAAAGGAGTGAGAATGAAGCTCACCGTCATCGACACACCGGGATTTGGAGACCAGATTAACAATGAGAACTGGTATGGCATAATTTCAATAAGAGTTTCAATAAGAAGTTATACTTTATTTTAATTTTTTTTTTGTCCTTTAATGGATTCACCCTTCTTGCCATCAACGTAGCTGGCAGCCCATCATGAAGTTTATTAACGACCAGTATGAAGCGTACCTGCAGGAGGAAATCAACATCAACAGGAAGAAAAGGATTCCAGACTCCAGAATCCACTGCTGCATATACTTCATCCCCCCGACTGGTCACTGGTAATGGCTTCAAATAAAATTACTACCATATTTTCTGCACTATAAGGCGCACCAAATTATAAGGCGCATAGAAGCTGGAGTTACGTTATGCATCCACTAGATGGAGCTGCACTAAAGTGAATGTCAACAAAACTGGTCGGTGGCCAGCCAATGGTCACCCTTCTCCGTTCGCGCACAGCATGTTTGTGGAGAACGTGGCGCTAAATGACCTGCAGACGACCTGATTCTAGACGGTCAGTAGGTAGATAGGTCAGTCAAACTTTATTAACAAATCAGCGTTCTGACAACTATCCCAGCATGCACCACACACTTCTTCTACGGGGAAAATGAAGTTGGCGGCTGCTTACAGTAGTTGCTAGACCTGTTGTGGCTCAATATATAAGGCGCACCGGATTATTAGGTGCACTGTCGGCTATTTTAAAACTGTAAATATATAAACATGGAGGTATTTTCATGTTGTTTTTGTTTTCCTGAAGGCAGCATATTACACACATGTACACATGTTTTTTGAGGTTTACAAAAAAATGCTATTATATTGAAGAATAAATGCAAGTAAAATTGTTTTTTGGATGATAAAGCATTGCTCCTGTACAAATACATTCACTGTTAAACTAGAATAATCATAAAAAACACCCTAAATGTCTGAATGAAAGCAAATTTACAGGAGTAGACATGAATAAGCATCCCCACAGAAAGTTTGAACCGTTTTTAATCTGGACTGACTGCGACAAACTGCTGCTGGTTCTGTATGTGTTCATCCGGACCTTTTGTTTATTCTCAGGTGGAAAATGTGAGGCTGTGCTTTGTTACTCTTCAACACACACACACACACACACACACAGTCTTGTCATTTCACTTCAGAACCAACATATCCCAGAACACCATTCCACTGCACTGCAAACACAGGCTGCTCTTGCCAATTTACCAAGTTTCTCCCTGGATTTCTTACAAATGCAAACATCTGGCTCTTATTGAACAGGCTAATCTACTCACTTGGCTCAGACTGTAGTTCCTGGAGCTCAGGGGACTGGGTTTTACTCACAGGAGGAATTAGCAGGAGGTTTCACATATTCTCATGTGCCCATCTAGCCATTCAGCACACATTTCCTTTCATCCTCTGAAACCGAAGCCGAGTATCTCGGGGAAACATTTTGTAACTGCTGAGTCCTTCATGGAGACTCTGTTGATAAGAGTTCTGTCCAAGCGCCACAACCCAGCTCTGTTATTTTCGTGTCTTGGCCTGTCTTTACTCAGTCAGGACACGGGTGTGAAATGGTCCCCCCTCAAGTCGAGCCGGCAGTGTTTCATGTTGATCCAATTCAGATGTCACTTAGTGGGAGCAGCAGCTGCTCAAAGCTCGTCTCAAAAAGACTAACACAGGCAGAACAGTATCGCAGAAGGTGTGTGTTTGGGGTGCAAGCAATCATTTTTTGCATTTCTGTGTCATTTGTTGTGTGCTTTTGCTTCAGTTCACAACACTAGTTGGACAGAATCTAAAAATATATAGAAGCTTCCACAAACTCTGAGATTCTGGCTGTTTAATGACATGAAGCCTCCAGTAGATCAGATGGACGTGTAATGAGTTCATCTGGGAGAATAGTTGGGAAACTCTGCCCTCTGCTGCTCAAATCTAGTATTGCAATTTTGAGATGATTCATTGTTCTCTCTGTCATTTTCTCCACCCTCAGTCTGCGACCTCTCGACGTGGAGTTCATGAGGCGTCTCAGCAAAGTGGTCAACATCGTCCCGGTCATTGCTAAGGCAGATACTCTCACGCTGGAAGAGAGAGACTTCTTCAAAAAGAAGGTAGCTTTTTTTTTCAGCTTTTTTTTATTTTTCAGAAAATGTAATGTTTAGTCAGATTTATTTATTTATTTATTTATTTATTTATTTATTTATTTATTTATTTGAAGGATCAGGCATGATTATGTTTTATGTATAAACATCTAATGTTATGTTTTTTGTCAATTAAAGATAATTGATAAAAGTGATATAATTTACTACTAATCTGATCCGATTTAAGAATGTGTGTTACATATAGGAATAAATTAAAACTGTTGCAGGTTGAGGTTTATTTTGTGTATGTTTTGCTCTCATCAGATCAGGGAAGAGCTGCGAGCCAATGGGATTGATGTTTACCCTCAGAAGGAATTTGACGAGGACACAGAGGACAGAATGATTAATGAAAAGATCAGGGTAAGAGCATATGGCTTTTCACCTAAAGCTAATAATATAATAAAGCATTTGCAGCCCTTGAGCCCTCTCACTTTAGCAGCATTAAAACCAAAATATACTTCACCTGGATTTTATGTTTCAGACCAATACAAAGTAACACAAAAATGTAAATTGGAAGGAAAATCACACGTATTTTTCAAGTTTTTGTACAAATATAAAGCAAACCTCAGGACAACAAGATGCCTTCAGAAGTCACCTAATCAGTCGCCTTGTATGAAATTTAATCTCTATCAGTCCAGAAGTTTGTTAGAAAAAATTAGCGAACAAATGCAGGGATAAAATCATGGAGGAGTTATAAAATAAAACGCTACGCTTGATGATTATCACAGATGGTTTCTCTGGAGGAACTGCAGAAATCCACAGCTTTGCTTATGCTTGTGCACTTCACAAATCTGGTGTTTATGGAAGAGTGGCAAGAAGAAAATCATTATGGAAAGACAGCTGTGACAAGTTCACTTTTAATTTAGTTAATGCTGAGCTCTGCACGCTGCAGAGTTGCATCTATTTAAAAGTGAGTATTGTAGTGACATCTGACAGTTGCATATTTTACACTGTTCTTTAATCATGGTAGATAAGGATTTTATTGCTACAATTAATTACAGCTGCTGCTGTTCTGATTACAGTTTCTGAAGAGGGCAGGATGCTTGACGGTAATGATTACGATGATGAAGATTGTAAGAGCTTTGATTAACAGGATTTTGAGACCCACTGTAAGAAATTGTACAGCTACTGTACTTTTTAATTCAGTTTCTCTTGAGGAAATCCCTCCAAGCACCTGATGCAGACAGTCATTGTTAGTAAAAGTGGTTTTACGTCACACTTTATTGTAACTATCAATAAGTGGACTTTTGAAAAATTGAAAACATTTTCTACCATGAGGTTTGGACAGTCAGTCTGCTCAGAAAAACAATAAAACGGTATCGATCGCAAAGTTACTAGGGATAATTATATAATTATTAGGAATTATCATGAAACAGCAGAAACAAAAGAAAGCATCTGAAAATATTAATTTAAAAAAAGCTGCATTTTAGTCTTCCACTAATTTGTGTTGACCTGTCATAATTATTTAAAACTTATTCGTGGTTGCAGTGTAGCTGTAGGAGTGACTTTGTAATTCACTGTGGCTCTCTGACTGTTGGGGCAGGAGATGATCCCGTTTGCGGTCGTGGGCAGCGATCAGGAGTACCAAGTGAACGGCAGAAGGTTGCTGGGGAGGAAGACCAAGTGGGGCACTATTGAAGGTAAATTTCTCCTACTTGTATAATCTGTGACCCATCATCAAAGCAGTATTTTTTAGAGGTGTGCCGATCGATCGGTCACCGATCACAATCGGGCCGATTTTCGTGAAAAAGTGCATGATCGGTGATCATTGGCTCTTGTTGCCGATACCGATCATCTCATTTCCAGCCTGCCTGTGCAGCTGGTCTCCTCTTTCCTTCACTCTGCGCAAACGCGCAACAACAAATCTTAAGCGATGTGCAACTATAACGCACTGAGTGAATGGGGAAGTTTGCGTGTTGCGGCGGAAAATTGAAGCAGTCAAAATGCATCAACACAACGAAGCTAATACGACATAAAAACAGTGCCATACTTGACGGAGCTTGGCTACATCGAGGCTCACTGCAGTAAAAAAGACATACGGAGGATCAGATAGCAAGTAAAGCAGTGCACAGCTACAAACACTCACCCGGATTAGCATGACGGTCCGAAAGTTAAACAAATAATCCACAAAATTATTTGTCTTCGAGCTGCGATGTAAGACGCTGGTTCTGCTCTCCTGTTGAACCGCTGCTACTACAGGTAGTATTATCTGACAGACGGAGCGCCGCTTCTGCTCCACCTGGTAGTGACTCTCACACCGAACCTCTGCTTAAAGCTGCAGCATCTAACTAAAAAAATACATTTTACATACGTATTAAAACTTTCGCTGTCCTAACATTTTATTAGACTTTGACTATAAAAAGCCACATTTCTTTGCTTTTTTTAACTAAAATCTCAAAAAACAACGGTAGTCTTGCAGATAGTGTGTTAATAATGTTTCATCTCAAATCATTCCCTCTGTTTTGATTTCACTGCAGCATTGAGATAAAATTTTAAATTATGTTAGCCTCTACAGATCTGACGCTCTGATTTTTTTTATCAAACCTCATTAAAGAAGCTTCATTTCCTGCAGCATGCTCTGCAGACACACAGCCACATGTCTGCTGTAGTTTCTTTGCAGCGATACTCATCTCCTCTGATTTACATAGCTGCAGAGATCTGTGCAGCAGATCAGACTGTAGCTATGTTCATGCTCTAACTATTTGTGTCTTAAGGAAAAATGCACTAAGATCTGCACCTCCCCCTGGTGGGCTATTCTTATAACCCAACTTAAACACCTTCTGCGTTTGCAACAATGTTTTTGTGAGATTTCTTCATTTATTTGAAATACTGAACACGTTTTCTCTCTCCCATGCAGTTGAGAACATCGCCCACTGTGAGTTTGCCTACTTGCGAGACCTTCTCATCAGGCGAGTGGATTTTGGCCTCCTTGACCTTTTTTATGTCACATTAATTTTAACATGCACATAAAACTGGGCACCACTTTGGCTTTGAGGTGGGATTTTAGAAGAGTTCTGTGATACTTTGACAAAAACTGTAACAGTTTTTTCTAATCAAAAATGGCTCTCATTCTGATTAGCAGGGTTTTTAGTAAATATGGTGGATCTGTTTTTATTTCTGTTATTGCCTGCTGCTTTAAGTAAATGACAGATTTTCTATTTTTAAAGTTAATACACTTTTTATCATTTGAAAGAGGTTTGTCGCTACGGTACGAGTGAAACATTTTAAGTTAATGATAAATATGAAAAGTTAGAAATGATGATTAGATCTATTAAGTGAATTTTGGTCATTTTGGTGTGTATGTGACAATACCATTAGCCAGACTGGGATGTTTTACCGGCGTTTGGCACTAATCTGGTTCAGTTGGATCAGCTCTTAAATCTGCTGTGTTCTCGTGGCCATCTTTTAGAAACCAGCCTCAGAAAACTTCTCAATCTTTTAAAGTCGAGAACATTTTAAAAATTCAAGTGTTTTCAGTGACAGACTGGGAAGCTCTAAAGCACTTCTTCCATCCTAGCCATCTACTCAGGCTAGGATGCTCACATCCAAGAGGAAACAATTATTTCATGATTAACTTGTTTTTACAGCAGGTTTACGATAATTTTCTCAAATGAGAAAATGTAGTAAATATAGGCAAAAAGAAAAGCCAACACATGTTGTAACACATGACCTGAAATACACTCTCACTTCTAATACTGATTCAAAATCAGCAGTGAAAAAGGGTAAACATTAACAACTCTACCTCAATAAGCTACACTCTTCCTTCATAAATTTTGTGAAACTTTGGGACATAAAGCTGTGTGAGAGCGTAAACCAGCAGTGGACAGAATTCTCCAGATTACCTGAATCAAATGAGCAACTCGTTACCAGGCAGCTGCAATGGCTGCTGGCGACAGCTTTCAGGTGTGTTGGAGCTGAACACACCTGAATGCTAAAGGTTTCAGGACGGTAGCTCTCTATGCTACCGTCCTGAAACTTTACTTCAGGCCGGCAGCATTTTGATTAAACTTTTTGTGCATTTTAGAAATTCTGTGGCTCTGCTTATGGATTCAGCAGATGTCAAAATATCCTAATTTGTTAAAATATAATACTGTCATAGTTATGTTGTTTTCATGTTCAGATCTTGAGCAGCTTTCATCAGATGGATGTTTAGAGTTCTCATCAGTTTTTTGTTGCCTTGAGTTTGAAAAGTTGCACTTTGTGGAGCAAATCAGCTTTCTAAGGCTACAAGTCCTACCATACATCTTGACTAGATGAAAATATAAAATATGTAGTTATTGCATAAAACATGACTTTGTCTAAATGTTTTCCAGCAACCAGGTTGAAGTTTTTTCCAAATCTCTCTCTTTTTTTTGTGCTAATTTAGTTCTATGCCTGCATAAGCTGCACATCAAAATGAAAGAAAATAGTCGTGTTTGAAAATATATTTAGTCATTTTATAAAAGCATAGGTTCTGACAACCACATATCTGTAGAACCAGCAGAAATAAGTCTGATTAAAGGGCCGGTTTCTTCTCTTATCGCGCTTTCATGTGTCTTTTTGTGCAGGACCCACATGCAGAATATTAAAGACATCACCAGCAGCATCCACTATGAAATGTACCGCGTGAGGCGCCTCAATGAGAACAACACTGCAGTGGCTCATGCCAACGGCGTCCCTGAACATCACCTGACCGCCCACGAGATGTAGGCGCCGCCTGCCCTCCACTGCACAGAGTAACGCACCAGATGCGAGGCTCTGATCTTCCCTCCACCCAGCCCTGATCTCACAGGTGGGGTAGAAACTCTAAAGCCTGACAAGAGGGACTTTATCGTCTGCAGCTTAAAGGACTCTATCAGTTTATTGCCTTTTTTTATTGTTTCAAACTTAACTTTACTGATGACAAAACAGAGAAGAAAGGGTTCTGCCTTCATGTTGTGCTGCAGCTATGGTTCTATATCCCTCATGTCTTACAAATTTTACAGTCTGTATTATGGGTGCCAAAATTTTTTTTTTTTTTTTTTTGGTCTACCAAACTGATCGGATTTGTCTGATTTGCTTTAATCAGTAATAAAAGTTTGACGTTTTTGTTTCCACAGTAGGAATTTGTGCCACATTAAAAGCACAGTGTTTTGTCTCGATGAACACACTACAATAATACGCATAAAAACTGATGAAGATCATGTTTTAATGTTACCACTACATGATCAGAGCATGTTGGAGGAGGATGAGATGGTTCTTTCCCAAAAATGTTTGACATGCCAAAACGGTAAACTCAGCTAAAAGCCACCAAATGACACACGATGTGCCTGAAGGTTTTTCTTTGGCGCATCACAACCTATGTTTTGCTTCGATTCTTTGTTCATATCCTGTTAAATATAAATCTCGACACTTTGTTAAACATCGTTATTTAGTAGAAATATCGTAAAGAGTGCTTTAAGATGGGAAAAGTATTTATGCACGTTATAAAATGTGAACATTTTTCATGACTCGTCTTCCACTTACTCAAAAATGTCAACACAAAACGTGCTCAGACGTTCGAGCTTTTCCTGTTTTTTTTTTTTTTTTTTTTTTTTGGGTTCCTTTCCGGGCCTTTTTTTTTTGGGGGGGATTTTTTGGTCCTG